CTCAATCATTTCTAGATTCCAATTAGAGAAAGCCTAGGGATCCTTTTTATTAAGATGAAACACAAATTGTATCAAGACTTGCTAAATCACTTAATATTGTTATGGTGATATTAAGTAGCTTGAGCATTTTAAATACTAATTCGAGTATGTGTAGGCTATTTTTAATTGACGCATAAACTCTAACCTCCATTTTGCTAAAATTTCATTTTATGGTGCTAACTTTTTTTTTGCCAGCTTGAAGATTTATGATACAGAGTATGATCGAGAATCCTGCAATGTTCGGTGTCAGCAGTAACTTATACTGCTAGAATCTCCTGTAAATGTTTCTCCAGGTGTTTGTTCATTATTTCCTAAAAGAGAGAATTATCTTTTTTAGAAGAAAATTTTTAAATAGTAACAATGAATACTTTTTTCTAGATCTTTATTTTATACACTAATTTAAAATATATATCTAAATTTAATTACATATTTACAGGCTTATATGTTTAAGATGTGACTTCAAGCTTACAAACACTAACAGAGAAAAAATTATGACAGTTTGGATTTGAGGAATATAATTTATTTATGGAAATGCATGGGTATGTGTGTACAATTATCAATGTGCTTAAAAATTCCAACTTATACATTAAGAAAATATTGCTTCTTAATATAAAATACTTCTGTTGAGCAGTATTTTAAATATTAATTTTGTAAAACTCAAATTATCCTTAATATAGCTGTTATTTTAATGTTGGTCTTATGTGGCTTTGTAGAAAAGACACAGTTTCTAACAATTTGTTATGTGCAGTTAGTCAAAATTTTATTGTGCCAGCTTTTTTCTTCAAAGAATGCTAAAGATGAGAATGGCTCAAGATTATCCCATCCATCAGTTTTAAAATAAGAATTAGTAAACTAAAATAGCAACAATAAAATGTGGGATATATGAAGAAAGTTGAGAAGTATTAAGGTTTGACTTTTATTAAAGACACTATCAGAATAAGTTGTCTATATAACTGGATGATGATATAAATTAGTGTATTATTCTAACATTTTTGGAGAACAAGTTTTTACTAAAAAACTAAGTGATTTTTCATCACATTGCTGATTTGCTTATTTTCATACAATTTACAATATTTATTAATTTCTTCACAACTTTTGTCTTTTTGTGAAAGTTTGCAGAAAAAAATATATTCTTCATCCTAGAAAAGTGTTAGGGTCATAGGCACCACTATCAAGACCTATGTTCTATTAATAAATATATTTGCCAACAACAAAACATAAGTTCACTTTTTCACCAAAATAAACAAATAATTAAAGCTCTTTTGAAAATAATTTCCAATGGTAAGATAAAATCATGTTCAAAGTTGGAAATTTTGACATAGAAGAATTAGGAAAATATTCATCATGTTAGAATACAAGGGGTAGTGGACAAAGCATTGACTGTGTAGTCAGACCAGGGTTTGAATGCATCTCTAATGTTCTATATTAATATCTGTATTACATTTTTTAAAAACTTTATCCTTATGAGGATTATAGAAACTATGTAAAGCAACGAGGATAACTACCACTATCAAACACAGTGATAGATACTAATAACTATTCCTATTATTAGTAATTACATAAGATTGAAATCTCTGAAGACAGAATTCATGTTTCATTTATCCTTTCTTCCCTAAAAGCAGGTTTTGAGAATTCTTTGCAAGTATTTGATTAATGGAGAACTGCCCGTTTCTATGAGCTCAGGTTTTTTAGATTCCCCACATAAATGAAGTCATATTGAAGTAGCTATCTTTCTCTCTCTGACTTTTTCACTTAGCATAGTGCCCTCAAGTTTCATCCATGTTGTTACAAGTGTCAGGATTTCTTTCTTTATGAATGACTAAATAATATTCCATTACATTTGTAATTTATTTTCTTTCTTTCTGTAACTACTTAGGTATCTTTTATTCTACACTTAGGGGCCTCCCTGTCCTCTGTAATTTCTTTATTCATTCATTTGTCAGTGGATAGTTAGGTTGGGTCTATGACTTGGCGATTGTGAATAGTGCTAAAATGAATATGAGTACAGATACCTCTTTAAAATAGTGATATCCTTTGGATATATACCATAAAGTAGAATCACTGGATCATATGATAGTTCTATCTTTAATTTTTTGATGAATCTCCTGTGTTGCTTAGTCGCTAAGTGTTGTCTATCTTCTTTTGCAACCCCATGGACTGTAGCCCACCAGGCTCCTCTGTACCTGGGATTTCCCAGGCAAGAATACTGGAGTGGTTTGCCACTTCCTTCTCCAGGAGATCTTTCTGACCCAGGGACTGAACCCACATCTCCTGTATTGGCAGGCAGATTCTTTACCACTGAACCACCAGGGAAGCCCTTGAGGAATCACCTTACTATTTTTTATGGTGGCCGCACCAACTTATATTCCCACTAATGATATAGGAGGATTTCCTTTTCCCATATCCTCCTCAACAGTTATTATTTCTTGTCTTTATGAAGATAGCCATTCTAGTAGATGTAAGTGTTATCTCATTCAGGCTTTGATTTCCATTTCCCTGGTTATTAATGATGATGCGCATTTCTTCATGTACCTGTTGTCCATTTGTATGTTTTCTTTGGAAAAATATCTTCTGATTCTCTGTTTTTGATCAGGTCATTTTTTGCTTTTGACTTGTGTAAGTTATTTCTTTATTCTGGATATTTACTCCTTATCTTATTTACCTACACATAATATTTGCAAATAACTTCCTTCATTCCATAGGTTGCCTTTTCATTTTTCAACTGGTTTCTTTTGCTATGCTGAAGCTTTTTAATTGAAAGTGTTCCCATATGTTTATTATTTTTTTTTAATTTTTGTTGCCTTTGCTTTTGGTGTTAAATACAAAAAAAATCATCCCCAAGGTCAAAGTCAAGGGCTTTCTTTCCTGTTAAAGGTTTCCAGTTTTACATTCAAGTGCTTAATACATTTTGAGTTGACTTTTATGTTCTAAAACAGAGGCCTGGTTTTATTCTTTGCGTGTGTCTATTCAGTTTTTCCAGCCCCATTTACTGAAGAGACTGCCCTTTTTGCATAGTATATTCCTGCTTCCTTTGTAAAAAATTAAATGACCATATATGTGTGAGTTTATTTTTGAACTTTCTATTTCATTGATCTATGGGTCTGTATTTTTGCCAATATCATACTGTTTTAATTACTATGTTTTTGAAATATCATTTGAAATCAGGAAGTGTGAAACCTCCAGCTATCTTCCTCTGTCTCAAGATTACTTGCCTAATTGGGGCCTTTTAGGATTGTTTGTCCTTTTTATATGAAAAGTTGCCATTAGATTTTTGATAAAGATTGCATTAAATTTGCAGATTGCTTAGGGTAGTATGGACTTTTAATAGTTCTTTCAATCTATGAGCACAGATTAATTTTCCATTTATTTGTCCTCTTCAGTTTCTTTCATTAATGTCTATAGTTTTCAGTGTACAGATCTTTCACTTTCTTTGTCAGGTTTTTTTGCTAAGTATTTTATTATTTTTGATGCAATTGTAAAATAGGTTGTTTTCTTAATTTCTGTTTCCGATGTTTCATTGATAGTGTTTATAAATTTAATTGATTTTTGTATATTAATTTTGTATCTTATAATTTTAAAGTCATTTATTAGTTTTAGCAGTTATTTCAGTGAAATTTTTAGAGTTTCCTATGTTTAGTTGCCAAGTCATGTCTAACTCTTTGTGACCTCATGGACTATATAGCCCACCAGGCTCCTCTGTCCATGGGAGTCTCCAGGCAAGAATACTGGAGTGGGTTACATTTCCTTCTCCCATATATGTTCTCATGTCATCTGCAGATGAAGACAGTTTTACGTCTTCATTTCCAACTTGGTTGTCTTTTATTTATTTTCCTGCTTAAGTGCTCTGGCTAGGAATTCCAGTACAATGTTGAATAAAAGTGGCTGGAGGCAGGGGTAGGGGTAGGGGAAATGGGTGAAGATGGTCAAAAGGTACAAAATTCCAATTATAAGACAAGTTATGAGGATATAATGTATAGTATTCTGACCATAATGAATAATATTTGATCATAAAAGGTATTAAGAGAGTAGATCTTAGAAGTTCTCATCAAAAGAAAAAAAATTATAACTATGTAAGGTGATGGATATTAAGTAAATTTATTGTGGCAATCATATTGCAACATTTATATATATATCAAGTCATTATTCTGTGCACTTTAAACTAGTTTAATGTTATGTGTCAATTATATCTCAATAAAACTAAGGGGAATAAAAAGAGAAATTTCAGGAAAAACAAGCCTCTAGAGATGAAAAAACAGGAAAGGTAAGAGGGAGAAGTTTCAGGTGGTTTCAGGCAAAGTTGTGCCATTATGGTGCCCCAAATGCAAAGGTATAATTCTAGGTACTTCTTTGGAAGGCTGCTCCGATAGCCCAGAAACAGTCTTCCAGAAGCCAGTAGGCATAAACCATTTAGCCACAGAATCTGGTCCCAGGACCTGTTGTCTATTGGTGACTACTATAATGACTCTACTAATTAGTTCCTTAATACATGTCTCCTTCGTTAGGGAGAAAAAAATTAAATTATAATTGTTATACCTCCAAATCTTCTGAGTGAGTGTATTATGGTTCTTTTGGTATCTTACAGAAGTTAGCAGGGCTTCCCTGGTGGCTCAGATGGTAAGGAAACTGCCTGCAATGTGGGAGACCTGGGTTCGATCCCCAGGTTGGGAAGATTCCCCTGAAGAAGAGCATGGGAACTCACTCCAGTGTTCTTGCCTGGAGAATCCCGATGCACAGGGGATCCTGTCGGGCTACAGTCCATGGGGTCACAAAGAGGCAACGCAACTGTGTGACTAAGCCCAGCACAGCACAGAAATTAGCAAGCACATTGCTATCCACAAAGTGGGTGTTAAATAAAAATTGGTTGATTTATTTGAGTCACACAATATGTAACATTTTGTGTATACATATACATATTTTTTTTCTTTTTTTTTTTTGTCTATATGCATGTTTAAATCCAATAGGCCAGAACCTGTTTTGTGGACAAAGGATGGTGGAGAATTACCAGATCCTGACCGAATGGTTGTGAGTGGTAGGGAGCTAAACATTCTTTTCCTCAACAAAACGGATAATGGTACATACCGATGTGAAGCCACAAATACAATTGGCCAAAGCAGTGCAGAGTACGTTCTCATTGTACATGGTGAGTACCTTTTTGACATTATTATACATGTAAGAATGAATGACCTGAAAAACTGCTAAAATTTATCAAAATCTTTAGAATAATAAACAAATTTAAACAGATTTTCATTTTCTTTCAGAAGAACTTCTCATAAGTATAAATATCTCCAAAATTCACAATTAATATGTTTCAAATCAAAATAATAACATAAAATTAAAGCATATATTAGGAAATAAAAACTGTTTTGTAAATGATTTATTAATTGCAAATACACTGTATTATTTGATGGTGACTAATAAATCATATTAATGGTTTTCTTTATGCTTTACAAATAAATGCTTTTAATAATAAATCAGAATCATGAAAACTTTCCTTAATTTTGATAGAATTATCATAAAAGTATATTTTATAGTCAATATTAGTAGTTTTACAAAGAATGATAGTATATCATCGAGATGCAGCAAAGACAGAGGTGTACAGTACTAATGATAACTGAACTAATTTCTTATGCTTAATAATTTAAAACACCCACAAAAATTTTTTCTCCTCTCACTAGTCACATACTTTGAGTAAATATAGCAAAATGGCAAAAAGACATGCCAGTTCCCAAGATTAGAGAGAATTTCTATTTTCTGTAAACTCCAAAAGTCAGGACAAATGAAGATGAACTTTTATGAAACTGGTAAATATCACAATAAATGAAATTAGTCATATTTCTTTATTTCAAGACTTCTCAGAGTTTATTTACAGGGTACAATGTGAATCTCAAAGAGAAAAAAAGCATTATAGAATGTAAGATTTTTCTCATATATTTCACCAAGAAAGCATTTTCTAAGACTAATATATTCTACATAATATTACAATATTTGAATGAGTATTGTGTAAAATCTATACAAAGCTGTAATAAATCTAGTGGATCTTAGAAGTTACAGAATACACTTATTTGAAATGTTACTCATGAATCTAAGTATAAAATAACTGTAAGAAACATGGATTAATTCTATAACTTTCCAAAAAAAGGAATTTGGGAGATAAGGTCTAATTCTTTGTAAAGTGATTTAATTTTAGGGGAAAAATAACCCCGTTTGTTTTTCCAAAGATACTTATGTTGTTATGATACAGGCCAAAATAATATATTAAATCAATTTACAAAACTTTCTTATTTTCAAATTGCTTTAGTGTCTACCATTTCTCAGTTCTTAGCAACAATTTGCTCTTGAAGGTAAACAACGGCTTGTGCTGAATAGACTTTCCACATATAAACATCTTGAAAACAGTAGAACTGAGAGAATAATTTATGGTATCTCATGAATTGTGCACATTTCAGTTTTGGGGAAAGATCAGTCTGATCAAGTTAGACTGATAAATTGGAATTAAATGTGGTAACCCCCTGCCAGGCTCACTACCAGAGAGAATATAACAACCTTGAGTGTGTCAAGAAGATAAGTTAGATCCTTAGAGCAGGATCCAGGAGTCACTTACAGTTCATGCTGATCTGGATGTTTAGATACTACGGTCATGGAAGTGAAGTCTGATTCACCTTCAACTTTAAGTGCTTATCTCACCTAACAATTTTTGGGAAACTGGAGGCATGTTGCATAGCACGTCACATTGTGTCGAAAGCAATATGACATAAAAATATAGACAATTAGAAGGGAAATGACAGAAGAAATAATATACTTTGATGAAAAATATGTCATTCATTTTTTTAAGTAATTCCAGTGGGGGAAAATTCATGTTTTCTCAGTGTTTGCAAGCTAGCCAACAGTATGACTTCCTAAAGAGCCAAGCCACATTTAGGTAGTTGGCAGTTGACATATTTCTAATAAATATTTCTCTGAGCACTTTGTAAGAAGTCATTTTTGGCTTTGCTTTTTGAACTACAGTTCATGAAAAGCACCCCATAGATTAGTGCTATTCACGCTGCGAGATAAATGCTGTGAAGTTCAACACTGGTTTACCTAGGATTATTGACACATGTAATGTGAGGCTCAATGAAACAGTGAAACCATAATACACTGTGTTTTAAAAGGGCTCCAATTGGGTTCATTACAAAATAAAGTTTATTGTTTTTTTTCTCTCCTTTGCACACAGGGTATAATGTTTCATTAGTCACTGGTTGTATAAATATAAAATGCTACTCTCTTCTATTAATGGTTTGGCTGTTTCAAAACCAGACTAAATAATGAAATTTGTGTGGCATTTCGATCTATAATGAATGCTGTATGCATTTCGGAATGGAGTGATAAGTGATCGCTTGTGAGAACTTTACCCTTTTATCTTTTACACCAAGTTTGATTTTGCATTAGCTGTGATAATTTAATATAACTCTAGCACAGAAGGGCCTTTCATGAGCTGAGACCATCTTTGACTCTACCACAGTTACCAAGTTCTATTGATTCTTAACTTGATGGAGGTCGGAGCACTTTGCTGTGAAATCATCTGCTATCTAGATGCCGTCCTAATAGATTTTATTCTTTGGATGTCACTGCAAGAGCATTATTTAAATGTTTTCACATTTAATTGTTAACAGCAGTGACATTTTGTGCCAATAACACTGGAGGGTCCCCACCCCCCTCACTCCTTATAATGACCCCTTTGAAAATTAAAGCATTAGAACTACAGACAGTAATTTGAAACTACCAGTCTGAATCTCATTCTCAGTGAAAGGCCTAAGAAAATTCAGTATACAAATACCTGTGAGATAAAACATTACACTTTTGAAACATTTGTACTGTAGAGATCCCATTAGGAAAAAAATAGCATTTTTCATTAACAAGCTCAGCAGTGGAAACATTAATCTGTTAAATTGCTGGTCATTGTTATACTATTAATTCCTGTGACCACAATAGTTTTGTATTTTCTGCTTCTATGTAAAAATATTGAAGTTAGTCTCATATTATTATTGTTATCATACTACTTATTTCTTCTGAATGGTTAATTACTCCCATATTAATGGTCCCATATTAATGGTATCTTGTTCTATTGCTGTTCTTGCTACTTGAAGAACTCAGAGCAACAGAAATATTCCTTCATTAACCAAATACATATATAGCGTTTATCCACCAAGTGCAAATTCACTATAGGAGCAAAAGTGAACAGCACTCAAGGACTTGAAACATGGAAAATAAGCATTCAAGTAAGTATAGTACAAAAATCAAAGAGCTCTAGGAGGATGAATATACCATAGTGTAAATGTCAGGGTTTGTGACAACATTGTCCAAGTGTCTGGAATTAAAAAAAAAAATAAAAAGTAACATGGTACTCCTGGATTATTCATAAACAAATGGCATACATCATAAATAGAAGTGTCCACCAGTGCCAGGTACATAGATATAATAAATCAGAGTTTTACTATTATAATATTACTAGTGGAACCAGAAATCAAATTACCAACATCCACTGGATCATAGAAAAAGCAAGAGAATTACAGAAAAACATCTACTTCTGCTTTGTTGATTACGCCAAAGCCTTTGAGTGTGTAGATCACAACAAACTGTGTGTGGAAAATTCTTCAAGAGATGGGGATACCAGACCACCTTGCCTGCCTCCTGAGAAATCTGTATGCAGGTCAAGATGCAACAGTTAGAACCAGACATGGAACAACATACTGGTTCCAAATCGGGAAAGGAATACATCAAGACTGTATATTGTCACCTTGTTTATTTAACTTATATGCAGAGTACATCATGAGAAATACCAGACTGATTGAAGCCCAGACTGGAATCAAGGTTTCCAGGAGGAATATAAATAACCTCAGATACGTAGATGACACCGCCCTTATGGCAGAGAGTGAAAGGAACTGAAGAGCCTCTTGATGAAAGTGAAAGAGGAGAGTGAAAGAGGAGTGTGGCTTAAAACTCAACATTCAGAAAACTAAGATCATGCCATCTTGTCCCATCACTTCATGGCAAATAGATGGGGAAATCATGGAAACAATGACCAAATTTATTTTGGGGGGGGCTCCAAAATCTCTGCAGATGGTGACTGCAGCCATGAAATTAAAAGACACTTGCTCCTTGGAAGAAAAGCTATGACCAACCTAGCTTATTAAAATGCAAAGACATTACTTTGCTGATAAAGGTCCATCTAGTCAAGGCTATGGTTTTTCCAGTAGTCATGTCTGGATATGAGACTTGGACTATAAAGAAAGCTGAGCACTGAAGAATCGATGTTTTTGAACCGTGGTGTTGGAGAAGACTTTTGAGAGTCCCTGGGACTGTAAGGAGATCTAACCAGTCCATCCTAAAGGAAATCAGTCCTGAATATTCATTAGAAGAACTGATGCTGAAGCTGAAACTCCAATCATTTGGCCACTTGATGCGAAGAACTGACTCATTGGAAAAGACCCTAATGCTGGGAAAGATTGAAGGCAGGAGGAGATGGGGATGGCAGAGGATGAGATGGTTGGATGGCATCACCGACTCGATGGACATGAGTTTGAGTAAGCTCCAGGAGTTGCTGATGGACAGGGGAGCCTGGTGTGCTGCAGTCCATGGGGTTGCAAAGAGTCAGACACGAATGAGCAACTGAACTGATTGCCTGACCGAGTAGTCTTATGGTACCAAAGGCAATCTCAATCCAATCCTCTGGTATAAAATTTACCCAAGAGTTGTATAGTTTACCATCCATTATCTTCCTTGAGTGGTACCCAGAGCATAAATTAAATTATCTCTATTAAAGAATGAGGAAATTCTATATTTTTATTAACTAAGCAATAGAGAAGATCATAAAAATACCAACACTACAGCAAACTGGTAATATAGAGAGAGCAGAGTGCAAGTTATAATTACTCTTATTCCTCTGATGCAACATCAAATTCAGAAAGTATAGATAAAATATTCTCTCCCCAAAGAGAGACTATCCAAGACCTGCATCTTTTTGTATAGATACAGAGATCATAGAAGATACCTATTCATCACATAAAGAACGGCTGCAGAGAATTGCAGTTGATCTGATACCAGTCTTATTTTGTGTTTGGGAGCAATTTAAATTCTTGTATTTATTTGTCATCCACTGAT